TGCATCCCATATGTAGGCAGACTACTTTGGAAGTCATAAAAAACGATGACTCTGCGCCAGAGGGTCCGTTCTGTAGGCTGCTTGGGCGATCAGGCTGTAAAGAATGGGGGTACAGGAAGGGGGGCTGGGGGTAGCCCGAAATATGGACCGACCCCGGTGAGGTCAAAGGCCTGGACCACGACAATGTAACTACGATGATGTCATGAAAAATTCGCAAATGCGCCCTCCTTTCTGTGCACAATCTTCATCCATTACAGCGATCGCTCTGGAGTAAGTCCGCCTCGCAGCGAGCAGTCCACACGCCTCCTCACACACAGGGATGAAAATGGATGGCCGGGAAAGCATGTTTCTTTTTTTTTTTTACACAGAGTGGGAGCCATTCAACAGCTTCGTTTTTTTTTTTCATGGAAGATGCGACCAGAAACGGTGCATATCAAACCAAAATCTATGAAAAAAAAGACCAATAAAAATACGGAACAACTCAGTGACGAGAGCATCCCGGAGCTGCCAGAACGCCAGTGTCCTCTGTCTCTCCACTATGTTAAATATTCGCGATTGCACGAGCTCTCTCTATGCTTATTGCTCTCTCCATCACATGAGATGCAACTGTAGGAGTTAAGCTGCTCTCACGTGCCAGATTGTGCGTCGAAAATCCTTGGTAGCTTCTTGTGGGTTTTTTTTTTTTGCCATCGTCGCATCCGATGAGGAGACTACAATGGTATTCAGTCAGGTAGGGTGGCGATGTCGCCTTAACCGAAATAAAGCTCGTGCGCTCCGCGGCGCGGACGTTAACGCGCTCACTTTTCGGCAGAAACGTAAGTAGTTGACCGACAGCTCGGCACAAATGGGTCAAATATGGGATCTTTCTGAGTCAACAATAACAAGCAGGGGGACATGTGATGGATCATGCGCAGGAGCGTGCAGCTGCAGGTTACCCAGAACGTTTAAGGCACCTTTTTGCACAACCTCGCTTCTGACCATAACACACACTTTTTTTTTTTATTCTAGAGGAATCATCATTCATTTGCTCCCCTATTGTTCGAACATTAAAAAATAGAGAGTGAACTGTTGGCAAACAGGTGGTAGCAAATTCAGAGCTTTTTCTTTTGGGATGGCTTCATCAGCTTCTCCTCCCAGGTGTTCCGCGAACTCGCTACAGTTAACACGGCCCTCAAGTTTGCGCTCGTCAGTGGGAGGGGCGAATCAAAGGTGCGTTAATGAGGAAAAAAATGAGTGACGAAGCCCACGTATCTCATTAAATAAACTGTGAACCCCACTTCGTTCCTTATAAGTTCACAATAAAAACATGTTTTGCCTATTACCGGTGTGTAAATAAACTCCACCAGCATCACATGTCACACATGAGCAGACTGAGTGTTTAAAATCCCTCATAGCTGTTCTTCAAATATATAGAACACTCAGTCTCCAGAAATATATGTAATCTCTTTGTTCCTTTATTGGTAATCTAGGTTTTAACCTAGTCACAACTGAACTGTAAACTGTGATGTTTACTTAAAATTTACATGATCAACAACAATGCTCACCTGATTGGGATGAGGAAGGCTTTAGAATGGGCCTCCTACAGAGGCCATGTTTTAATTACAACACATCATTTTTTAAGCACACCACCTGCTGATCTGTACAGTTCCCTCTATTTACGTGAAAGTCAAGGACACAAATATAAAGAAAAATCCAGAACGTACGGCTGGTGTTTAAACGTTTTTCTTTCTTTTTTTTTGCTTAAACAGGCAACTATAAGATGCCCACTGTACAATGAGGGCTTTGTTTTTCAGAGACGGCATGACGATTTTGGTGACGTTGTACCTTCCAATGTACTGTGAAACTTCAATGTTTCAGCACAATAAATGAACTCGTTTGCCGAGAACAATGCACTGGGAGGTGTACAGGCTTTATTTAAGAACTGCTCATTTTTCGTTATGTCTCTAAACTGTCCGAGATCCGTTTCCTCCGAAATCACACTTGTCATATGTGATCGAATTCACACAAGCTCCAGCGACATAGAGATGTGCCATTTTTAGGTTTGTTAGAAAAAATACATCTACAGTGTATTTTCAATTCATGTGAAAAGACTCGTGTTTCTTTTTACGAAACCAAGATGGGAATATTATCCTGGTTGATCTAAGGATATTACATATTGAAAATAAATCTTAATTGCACCTTTGTGAAAATATATAGAACAGAGTAAATCAAATCGATCCACTGCAAGTAAGATATCAAATGCAAACTAATTTTGATCATAAATATGTGACGTGGCTCAGTGTGGAATAAGTGCCCTAATCGATGCGCCTTTATTCCAACTTGAAAACTCCCAAACTTCAAATGTATTTCTAAAGTGGTTGAAATCTCACTAACAATCGTGGTTCCGTGATAAATTCTGACAAGACCACGTCACGCACCTCTCCGTACCCTTGAAATTGAACTTTTAGGCTCCAGCAAACTACTCTATACAAACGACAGTTGCACTTACTTCCTAGAGGCGAGTCAAATCACTGCCGGCAACCAGAGAGTGTCCCAGGTGGACGAGGAACAGCGAAGTCCGTGCGCATCGTGATATGGATGATATAAGTTCCCCTCAAAAGAAAAAAAAAAAAATCCCGGCCGTGTTATTTGAAGCGGGGGACTTTAAAATTGCCGCTTCCACTGTGTGGACTGCATTAGGCGTGCTACAGCTGCTCTGTGCAAAGCATGAGCGTATCCCGGCCACATGACAGACGGAGACAGGGAGAGAAAGGGAAGGATGGGGGAGAGGGAGAGACACAACTTTCCCATAACGTCTACAAGCAGCAAATAGAAAAAAAAAGTGCATGCACAGTTGAGCTCTCAAGTTTTTTCCTTTCTGTTCTTCTTTTTTTTTCTGTCGATGGTGGGGTCGGGCGAGGCAGGGAGGGGGCAATGATGATGATGAAGAGGAGGAATGGGGGGGTGTGGGGGGGGGGGGGGGGGGGGGGGGGCTGTCCATCCTTCTGTGCGAGGGAGGGACGTGCTCTGAAATTCAAACAAGTTCCCTCGGTTCTTTTGTTGCACGCACGAACTAAGGCAGCATTGTTCGCAGTTTGGCGTGGACCTCTCCCTCCTCTCCCCCGACCAGGTTGCGAAGTGAGCCTCGCAGTTGGGTAGTAATGAATTTGCTGCAGGCGCTTCGCTAACACGCTTTGACAAACGGAACGCATTTACCGGTTTCCAGACAGGGTGGGGGGGTTGGGGGGGGGGGGGGGTGGGGGGGGGGGATGATTTGCTACATGCAATTCCAAAACTAAGTCTGGAATGAGGTCAATTCTGAAAAGCGAAAGGGAGAAAGAAATTTAAACTTCACTTAAAATGTGTTGATACAATCCATGTGTACAGTTCCAGCCGTAAGATTTTATGCTGTCTTCTTTATACTCCATAAGAGGTCATCTTCAAATATATACACAAGTTTGCCCCCCAAAAACCATACACACACACACACACACAGATGCGCACACACAACGTCGATGAAAAGAAGAGTCACGAATGATGACAGATTTTCCATGTGTAAAAAAAAAAAAGTTCAGGAGAGTTGACCTACTTGCTACTGCAAGTATTATGTGTCATTTGGCGCTTTTCTTCGTGAGAATGTTTTTATTCAACAATAATGATGAAAACAACCATACACTGTCTAATGAGAATATCATTCTCCTTTGACTTCAGGTAAAAATGCTTAATTTGCCTGCTGTTATTTATGCCTCTATATATTTCAGCTTCATTTCTTCTTTTTTTACTTTCTTTAAGAAAATACTTTTGTGACTCAAACCACAGCAAATGAATAGGGAGATTCGGACATCCTCTTTCAATTTGCCACCTACCCCCACCCCGCCACCCTTGCCTAATTGCAGGCGTATCCATTAGCGTCTAACGGATTCACGTTTTTAGTTTAACTGCGAGGGCACGTTCAATGACGTAGACAAGCATATCGGCTACGTGCAGCCATATTTAAATACATCAAGGCAATTAGCGCATCAAAATATGCAAATCCCTCTTCCTAGCCTACATAGTGCGCCCGGCTGCAGTCGGAGTAATTTCCCCCTGCTTGGTTCTTTGGTGCTTGATTGCCGCTTTGAAAGCCTCCACAGCACTGTTTGTTCTACCACGAAGCCTCCTCAATGCGAGCGGGACAGAAGGGAGACGCGAAGAGAAGGAGAACCGTCGCTCCTGCATGGAAAACCGCCCATGCGTAATGAGACGACCCGCGCCGCCATTCTCAATTCTCCGACGCCGTTGGCTCTGGTGTGCGTATTACTTTTAATATTGATGCATATTCAGTGGGTAGATTTGCATTACATAGTTGTGGCTTGTTGTGTATTCGGGTATATTTTACATGGTAGAGCGATAAGTTGTCGTTTCTGCTGTGGCAATATTTTAGTCCATCTCTTAAAAATCTCATAAAATGTCAGATAGAATCATGCGAACATTAACATGGAATCAGTCATAATTTGGCCTCACAATCAACATTTTTCTTGCGTAATTGATGCTGGTCGTCGGTATATTTGTAATAGGTATATTCAGCATGCATGAACAAAGAGCTCCAGTGGGGAAACAATAGAGATGCAGAGGCAGCCCCGGGGTGCTGATACTCTGGAGACAGATACTGCAGTCCCATAAGACGACAGCACGGTCTGTCCGAAAATGAATATAACCCAAAACTACTGTGCCCAGTTGGTAAAAAAGCCAGTGACGCAGCGCTGACATTTAAGCTGCAGTCACTCAGGTTTTTCCCCGGTGTCCGTGCACGCGCACGGGGATGCCAAGGACGAGCGCGTGAATGAAATCTCCGGACCCTTTATGAAACTATATGAAATTCTGATCATACAATGGCAGAAATAAATCCAAATCATGTCCCATTCCCTTTTAAAAAAAGAAATCTTCCTGCCTTAGACAGACTGGATTTTTATAGAACCTCCGCATTTAGTTTGCATGAACTTTATGGGAGGAAAAGTGTCTACAATCAAAAATCAACTTACCTCCTGTCAATAAAATGCAGCCGCTGTTATTTGCTCTGTGTGGACACCAGAGCTATAGTTTTGCATGGTAGGATGTTTTCCTGGAGTGCAAACTTTCCTCGTGCAGCCAAAGCAGATGCAGTCCCTATAGGCTACTCCTCGTCATTGAACCTTGCTCTTTAACTGCTCGTGGCTCAACACCAGTGGTCAGACTGGCTCACGTAAACATATTCAAAGCCACAGGAGACCAATACCCCACCTATGCTGGGCTGATAATTCTAAAAAAGTAACGTTTTTTTTTCATTCCGTGGTGTTCCTAAATATTAAAACACCAGGTTATTCATGAGGCGTTGGGTGAGTTTTAATAAGCAGTCATGCTTTGTTCCACCACCCATGTTTTCCTCACTAATCACTAAGCGACAGTATGCACACAAAACATTATTTCTTCCAAAAAACGATGCTACTCTTGCTTCAGTATATATCCATGCGATAAGTTATTCCTAAATAAACGGGTATGGGTAAACTAAGCTTTTCCTTAAAATGGTTGAGCAATCATCTCCAATTAATAATAAATAAAAAAAAGTAAGTGTTTTCCAATTCGTTGAAGCCAGACCTTGAGTGGCCTAGTTTTTTCATGGTTTAATCAAACGTGCTGAACAATATCGTGTAGATTTTGTAAGTAAAGCAAGCCTGTTTTTGGGGTGTTCTAGATGAGTCCACGACGTCCAGGTTATCTGGTATGGAAGAATAATTCAAAGGGCCCGGGTCACCTCTGTGTCTGACACAATGATGTGCTCGTAACGAAGCCGTCAGGCCACGTGCTGGTGTAGAAATTAACCAATATATAAAATGATGGGACTGAAAAAAGTTGAAAAGTAACTTTTAATCATAGCTGTCCCTGATGCTGTATTAAAAACGGGAGTGTTGTGATGTCATTGTTCGGATAATCATCCATACGTTCAAAATTAATTTAAAACGAGCAAAACAGCGGGGCAATCTGGCCCATAACGTCCATTAGATTACACGTTTTTGTCCATGCCCCCCAAATCTCAGACCAGAAAGCAAACTGATACCAATTTTTAATATGAACTGAAGCGGATTGTGTGTCCGTGTGGAAACGATTTTCTACAGTTGTGCTGTACTAAAATAATCATAATAAAACGCTTCCAAGTTCGTGCTCATGCAACCGAATTTTCCAAAGAATACCTAAGCTTATGCAACAAATGAACAATTCCAACGTTATCAAAATAATGTTTTTTTAATAATAATTGTTGTTATTATTTAATTATCATTGCACCACTGTGCTTGATATATGAATATATGGCTTACATATTCGTTTATCCGATAGCAAACAACTCCGTTTAGACTGAACACATCAGGAAGGGACTATTGTGCATTGACACTCACCTCTAAGAAGAATTGTTGGAGAAGCTGGTGTGTTCACATCCTTAAGATTTTAAAGGTCTGATGAATATTCAATAACTGTGTAGGACAAGGATGGTGACGGTGAAGGTTGAGTGGGTGGCCACAAGACGACTAAACGGCGACATCTAGCGGTGGCTTTGGAGAATGCGCGCGGTTTTGAGATGGCTGGGATGCAGGTTAGATGTCAGCGAAATGAGAATCTGCTCGCCAAATCACTGCACGCCGCTTCGATGATCCTGATTTACGGGGAGTAAATGTACATTCGCAGTTTTTCAGCGCAGTTCAGAGGCGTATATCTATCGAAAGCCAAACTTAGGAGCCCAATTTGCATGCGTGTCAATTGGAAGCACGCCACGTTGATGGAAAGATGAACACATTAGCGACAGGAGATTAGCTTTAACCAAAAAATGAATCAGTAGATAAGCAGTGAGACGAGAAAAACCTTCAAAACAGTCTAAGTATTAAGTCTGTTTTGATATTTGCCTGGATGCAGGGCGTTTATTAGTGTTTCATTTCCTTTTCTTTTAACAAAAGGGAGTTTTTTCCTTTTAAGAGCAGGTTGATGAGATTTTTTTTCATGGCATATAGAGTGACATGCTTTATCTCTGTCCTTCTTCCTGAGAAAATTAAATCAAGATATGTGAAGAGATCTTATTCGTGAAATGTAAAAAAGATATACTTTTATAAAAGTCTTTTACATTTTTTCATCAAGACATTAGATTTGAAAATGCACTGTAAGAAATTATTATATGATAAAGTAATGATTAGATCACGTAACGATTCCATTGAATCTGAACGAAAAATACAAAATTCTGCTCATTCTAATTTGACCAATGAGGTAATATTTCAGTTAACATACATCAGGGGGTCATTTTCTCTGCTGTTCAGCCCACTTCATCGTTTTCTTTTAATAAAAATATTGTCCAAAACGTGTTTAATCTCCTTCTTTGACACAAAACACGACATGCTGGTCCAACTGATATCGTGTCATTTATCGTTATTAAAATGATTGTAAAGAGAGTAAAAGCCAGAAAGAAACTGGGACTGCTTATGTTGTTTTTTTTATATTTACATTGCATTGTAAGTTAAACGCGAGCCAAAGAATGTGTGAAGAGCACACAGAAACACGGTGTGTTTTCCATGGAGGCCTACAGCGACACAGTCTAAAATAAAACAAAAACTAACGAATTTTAGCAGTTTCTGAAAGAGTTCCTTTCTCCCATCAAACATATAAATACAATGAGCACTCCACGTGTTTGAAGAGATGTTCGTTTCTTTTTTGTAACATTTATGACGTTAAAAAAAATCGCCCAATTAAACCGTTTTTTCTTAAAGTATTAGAAATTCAATTGTCACAGTCGTATTAACGTTTGACGAATGGTTCCATTTCACAAGCCACTTCATAATACCATGAGGATGGTTTTGCAACAGGGCGTAATATTTGGACCGAATTGGACATTAACGTTTCCAGAAAAAGAAAAGAAAAACGAAAAATAAAAAGGAAGGTGAAGCAAAGAAAACTAAACCAAAAAACAAAAGAAGTAGAAAAGAAAGAAAAAAAACGAAAACAAATATCCTGGATTAGCCTATACAAAAGGGGCTCTGCCTTCTTCATCATTTGTATTTATTTTCACTGACTTTCTTCCACCGCTGAGGAACGAATGAGCTCCTCCAGGAATGGGCCTGTGTCTGTGGGTCAGGTAATCAGTAAATGAGCCCTTTATTGATTAATGTGTCATGTTTGTCTCATTTCTTGACGCATATCACCATAGATGGATTTACACTGTGAAATGTACATTTGTGTGCACTTGTGTTTAATTTAGAAAAATAATACCAGTGCAGGTCAAAGTGAAATAAAAAAAAAACGTAAAAATAAATGCCTTCAGAATTTTCACTGAAATGTATTTTTTAAAAAGAAAAAGCTAATATATATAAATGCAAGGAAACACATGTCTGCAGTATTTCAGACCTGAGTGTACTTCAGTTGTGACTGTGTAAAAGACAAATAACAGTGTGATGAGTTCCATTCTCACGGGATGAAAATGTGTGCAATATGTTGTCATTCATTAAATGATCTGTTTGAGTATTTTTGATGTATGGCGTGAGTCATCTCTGATTTGGAATGCATGCAGAAACAAGTCAAACACAATGAAATCACACTGAGTCACATCAGGATAACTAAGAAAGCCAGTAACTTTACTGAAATCTCTGCAAAATACAAATAGCCTTTCCCTCCAGCAGAGGAGACTTTAGTTCCATCTCCATACGTTTTCACTACATACAGCTGAATCAAGTCCCTTGAGTTACAGAGATGTGATTTAAATCAACTCCATCTTAGTCTCAAGTGGCGACAAAGGCCAGCTTATGCCGCAGAAAACCTGTCTTGTATTCCAGAAAACATTAGCTCCCAAACTTTCCCCATTCTCAGGTTTATACAAGCTACATCGATACTACAGACTGACTTTTGAAATAGTTTAACATATTACTCATTTTTTAATACCTTTTCAGATTTTGAACACAACTTAAATAAACCACAAACACAGTGGAGCAACAAAGAATCCTGCATGAGTATCACGACCCTAAGCAATCGAAGGTAATTACACATGGCTGTACAGGTGTGGTCTCCCCTTTGCACTGCAGGTGACTCTTCAAAACATCAGCTGAGGTACTGCTCGGGTTAATTTTGAGGTACTAACATTTATTCTATTCGCCTAACGAAACAGAACAACTGATCATCAGGCGTTGAAAAGTAATGGTTTCAAATTGAACAAACACAAAAAAGAAATACAACACAAAATATTTCTCCAGGTCTTTGGTTAAAAAATTGTTGATGAAATTTTAGCACTGTTCGGAAATGTTGGCATTAATGGGCTTCATTCAGAAACCAGAAAAAAAAGTGGTTTGAAGAAGTGTACATTGAGGATTCATTTTACATGACAGCTCTGAGTAATTCTCCTGATTCAGAGCACAAAAGGAACAAATAAATAATTAGTAAATTAAATCAAATTCTGGGATGTAACCTTTCGAATGCAATGCACAGGGAGACAAATGAGCGCCAACAATGGCTAATCATTGTGCTTGTTATGGATAATGGTGCTTATAAACTAGAACTGCATTCTACTGACTGCAATTGAAATGTGAAAACAATTGTACGTTTCAGCAAATTCTTTTATTATCTTGTTTCAATGCTTGCAAAAACCATAAATGAATGTGAAAATAAATGTTGATTTTACAACACAGAAATGCCACTGGCTTTGGTTTCTCCACACTTGCTGCCTATAACACCATGTTTATTTTTTTCTCAACCTTTTTGTATTGAAGTTAAAAAATAAAGAGAGAACACCATTACAGAGGCTCTGCCCCGTTTGACTACACAGACTGTATACAGTAACAACATCGTGAACCTGCATGAAATATGCACACAGAAATATCATAACACTTAAGTGACAGCAGATACGGGAGTGGGAGGCAGAGAGATACCAGTTTGTGGCTAGTTTCATTGTTTAAAAAAGAGAAAAATCAAAATAACTATTCATCTAAAATTAACAGTTGTGCTTCTCCCATACCAGCATTATCAGTTTGTCCTTTTCAATCTATAGCTGAACTGTAAGGGATTCGCTGTGGAACCCTGTTTTGAATACTGGAACATGAGGAGTGACTGCATGACAGAGAATCAAATTAGGCCTGCGAATAATCAGCCATAATTCATCACAATGCACTTTTAAAATTGCATTATAGAAATTTGATTCAAAAGAAGACTGTAGAGTTTGTCTGAGCTTGTGCATCATCGTGGACACGAGCTGAGATCTGACAAGCCTTGAGGTGGAATAAGGAGGCTGATAATGTCAAAAATATGCCTCATGGGATTAACTGGATTAAACTCGGCCATTGAAATTTATAATGAATATCTCATGCCTGAAAATGCACTGGATATTTCATCTCCAAGGGGTCAGACATATTATGTATGTGACTATCAATCCTTAAGTCATCCCCAGTTCCAGTCTTGTGGCATTTTCCACAAGCAGGATGTTTTTCAGCATTTACGCCTGTCTCTTGTATGTCACACAAATCCTGGCAATGCTTTCCAGCTGGTTCTTAAAGTTAGTCTAAATACAACCCTGAATAGCACTTTTCAGAGCTCAAATGAAACAAACCAGACAACATGTGCAACTGCACACTGAAACTCCACTAAGAAACCAACAAAAATCATTATTATATATATTTATATATTAGAAAGCTATACACAAGCATGTTAATTTCACAGATTTTTTTTTAAAGATTCTTAATATTACCATTATTATATATAATTAGAAATACACGTTTAAAAACAAACCTCTACAAAGTTAAAACAGTTCAGCAAAGCATTGGATTTCAGTCTCGTTTTCATGGCTTGGGGCTTTGAAGCCCGGTCATTTCCCCTCTGGGTGAACTATCCATCTCTTATTAGCAAAGCTATCAAAAAACACATTCTGGCTTATAGAAACTACAAAAAGCCACAAAAATGCTTTGCATTGTATTCCTTTCATATGAAAATATAAGCAAGTGTATCGTACAATTGTTTTTTTTAATCTTTTCCTTTTTTCTCATTTATCAATACTGAGTAGTTAATACTAGATCCAGAGTTTTCTTGATTAGACCAACGCAGCTCTGAAATCAGAGGGTGGTCTTAACTCCATTCTTTCATGGGAGCGCTAAAATCATCAAAAGTGCCACACACGTGGCATTGGGTTAACCTGTTTACCTGTACAATCCTTCAAATGTTGCATAATAGCTTTTCATTTAGTGACTTAATAAATCTTGAAATGTCTGGCCTCTTCATGACCCCTGCCCTTACCCCCTTACACCCACTATTTACATAAATACGTTGAACCTGCAACATGACATCATCTAATGTTAACACATATTTTTGCAAGGGAGAACTGCAAAGAAGGTATATAGCATTGAAACTGATACTGTACACACATACTGTTTGTCCAACTCAAGTGCTAAGGTGTTTGTCACTGGACACACTCACTCTCATGTAAATGTTGTTGTTTGTTTTTTTGTTATTTCTTTTTTTTGTATAGTCATTGTTATATCGCTGAGGCAAGGTGTAAGTACGTTTTATGAGATGGAGTACCTGACTTTTTTTTTTCTTTTTGATTGGCTGATATGCATATATGTACACATACACACGTGTAAAGATATATGCATACGTGATTCTTTTCATCAACATACAATACAATTTATGCATAGTTCCCCCCCAAAGAAAATCCCCCGAAACCTTCCCAACAGACACCCACCCTCCCAAAAGCCCCTTACAACACCCCAATGGTTTATATAATGTCAATATGTATAGCACACACACACTCAGCAAAAGAGAAAAAAATAAAATAAAAAGGAATTACAACAAACAGATTTCTGAAAAGGGTTGTCCTTTTTTTTCCTTCAGCATTAAAGAGATAAAATGAGAGAAGCCATAGAGTTGGGTGGTGAGTGACTCGTGATATCAAGTGAGAGGACGAGGAGGAGATAGCTGACTTCGGGCATTGTGATGCTGCATTAACTGGGGCAACACGGGGCACTGCCAGGGAGAGGGCAGAGCTATCATGTCGCCCATCCCTCTGAGAGGCGCACCCGTTTGATGGAGGGGCTCTCACGCTCGTCCAGGGTGGGCCGGGCCAGTCCCAGGGGCGAGTGGAACTCATTCCTGTGCTCATCGCGGTCGCTGCCCTCATGGGAGCTGCTACAACTGCTCAGGCTATCAACAGGGGAGCGTCCCGAGTCCTGGCGGGACGGGGGGTTCTGGGGAGGTGGCACCCCACCACCGTAGACCCCCGGTGTGCTGCTGGTGCGATCTCTAGGAGGAGAAACAGGTTCGGACTTGATGTGGAGGCTTTGAGCAGAGGGCAGGGAGAGATTTGAACCCTGACATAAGTGAGAGCTAGAGCAATTTCTGTTGGAAGGAAAGGAAACGCAGTGGTTACAGAGTTACAGAGCAAGAGACAAAGTGAACTTTAAAGTCAGTCTTTCGCTCGCAAACATGCACGCAAGCCCACACACACACACACGTGAACCAGCAAAGTGTCATTTTCTATTGGACCTCGCAAGTGAAGACTGAGAATAGTGAAGGAGTCTCGTATTTTTCTTAGTGTGACATTTCAAACGATGATTTATGTTAATGATCCAAGTGTTATCATGCGCTTTCCAACAACATCCAAAGTAAGTTTACTCACCCTAGCTGTCCAAGGGCTGAGTGCTGCATGTTCTGAAGGTGTTGCTGCTGCCACCCACTCATTGAACCGAGGTGTAGGGAGCTTCCGCTGTTGAAGCCAGACAGCGAGGACAGGTCTGCGCTATTCAGAGAATACTCTGGAACACAAGGAAATGAAGAGGGAGATATAGATGAGGGTTCAAATTAAAAACAAAAAAAGTAGTAATATGTGTGCTTTGATTGAAATATGTTCTAAATCGTTTGGAAGGACAACAGCACCCTCTGTTGTTCAAATGTTGTAAGCGCTGGAAATTTCTATGGATTTTACAAACACTTGCAATTAAATAAAGTATCACTCGGACAGCTAAACTAAATTTGAGGAGGATAATATAATACCACTGATCGTAGTATTCACAAAAAAACAACAATACTATAAGTACTACTACTACTACCACTACTTCTACTACTACTGCTAATAATAATAATATTAACAATAATAATGATAATAACAATGATATATTAACATTGTGGTACATACCGGTACCATAAGATGTCGAAATAGCAGATGGGTAACCACCCATGCCTTGTCCTGGTAGAGTGGGAGTTGCTACTGATACCACAGGGGTGGCCAATGACTGAGCAGACTGGGAGTTGTTTATTCTCTGGTTCTGTGACAGGAGGGGAATACATAGAGACAATCAAGACAGGGGAGAGGCTTTAGAAGATAAAGTTAGCTCCCAGACTAAACAAAGGGCTGCAAATGATCAAAAAAGTTGTTTTTTTTATTTTGTTTTTTTTTGTCAGTTCTATCTTTTAATCAACAGATTCTAAGATAATGAATGCTATGCCAACTTCTAGGAAAATTAATCACTTGACATGAGGCATGGCTGAACCCTGCCAACCCTATCATTTACCACCCTTTTTCTGAGGACCCATTGTCGCTATAGTAACACCATCGGTTACCATGACAACGTATGGTAGCAAGAGGAAGGGACTTCATCATGGAAGAGGGGAGTATGTGTCAGAAAACAATAAAGGTTTGATGTAAAACAAAAGTGTATTTTTGTTGATATTATTTTTTTAATTTCAGTCCTGATTGTTTTCTGTGCAAAATTCTACATGTTTACAAATGACAAATAGAGGAAATTTGGAATTACATCAAAATAAAGGGGCTGTGGCAGAAAAGAGGCCAGGTTGCTTTAACTCTAGCACACCACTTGATGGCACTATTGGCCCTCACAAAATGTCACATGGCAAGAAGCAGCAGAGTCAGCAACAATAAAGGTGAAAGTTACCCTTGAGATGGGACTGTTTTAAAAAAATAACACACTTACACCCCTTCGGTGTAATTATCTTGATAGAAAGGAATTTAATTCGCCCAATAATATGAGGGACATTGTGCCTTTAAGAACAAAGTTTGTTCATGATTAGAAGAAATGAAAGTTTCTGATTTTTGTATTCTCTTTAAGGCTTTTTATGACTTCTAAATCTGAGTGGTAATCTGACTTACCAAGAGCAGATCAACATCCTCAGACTGATGGCATTAAAAGGGGAGGGCAATAAATCCAAATTAGTAAGTATGACTGAGCATATTAAGGGAGTGCTTAGGTGTGGATCTAGAGATGAAACTACTGCAGGACTGAGCCATAAGAATTAAGATTAATGGTAGAGGAGGATGCTAAAAACTTCTACAAGCTTAATTCACTCTATATGGAGATAGGAGGAGATAGGAAGGAATACTTGTGCCAGTGGTATACGTGGCAACAAACACATCGAGAGACACATCAGCCTTGGGCCAAGAACAAATGGGTGATAATTAAAAGAATGTGCAACCTAATTTTAACTTTAGGTAACAAATTTGTATCACCCCAAGTCTGATATGAAGAGATTTAAGCAGCAGTGAGGGCATAAATAAAAAATAAACAACACAATAAAAAAAAATGAAAGAAAATCTACAGACCCCCTGACAGGTCAAAGTATAAGGAGGGTGGAGGGTTAAAGAGGAAAATAAGAATGGTTCAATTAAATAACGGACAGAGAGATTACTCACAATGGAGGGCATGTTGTTCTTGGCGCCAGGGGGGATGAGCACGCGTAGGTCAGGTTTGCGGTTGTTCATGCCCAGGTTCATGGGGGGTGGAGACTTAGTCTGCATGTTCTTGTTCATTCCTCCCGGAGACACCAGCAGCCCAGGTGAGTTGCGGTGGTTTCCATAGCCATTTCCTGGCAGGGAAAAAAAAAGAAAGTGCAGAGAAATTAACAAATGTTCTTGGACTTCCTAATGCCAAAAATACTGTGCTATCAAAGTACTTTTAAAAGTTAAATTAATCTTTAATCTCCTGCTGCCAGCACTAATTCCTCTTGGTTAAGAGATGCAAGAATCAGTCTGGGCGTTGTTTTCCTTTTTCAGTATTTATAATTCGGTGCTGTAGGAATTCTACTTGTGCATTTGAATGTCCAGTTAAGCAAGACCCATAAATGTAGTACTTGCCAGTGGAAAATAAATTCTTTCAGACAGATTCTCATTCCTGCTTTCCTAATCCCAACTGTTTGTTAGGAAATCATACAAAACATCCACACCCTCTACCGCTGTCACTCTAAAGGAAGTCTGCACGTGGTCTGAAGCAGCCAGCGAATCTTGTAAAAACATCTAATTACGGATTGCAAGACCACAATGGGATAGGACTGATCATTTGGTCATCAGAGCTCACAATGATTATGTGGTTCTTCCTAACGAAACTGATGCTGCCAAGAAATCTCCATTCCCTGCTCATGCAGGCCCAAATGTAGCACCCTTTTCTCACTCAAAAAACACTGGGCTAAAATCCTAGTGACATCATTAAGGAAACCGAAAGTGGGGCATAATTGCAAGCAACATTGTCTTTGTTTCTAACCCAATCCCTTGGGCTGTTTTTCCCCTTACTTCTCTCTTATTCCAAGGGGCAGAACACAGGGCACTGTGTGGACGTTCCCACTTAAAAGACAGGCAGGAATTATATGTTAGACATAAATGAATTTCCTAATCATATACTCCAGGGGAAAATGAGTCACAGATGTCTTCCTGGGCAATTTCCCTTGCAGATCTTTGTTTAATTTGAGAGCGAGGTTTTTGTTGTTTAGAAATGAAAAGTCTCAAAAGCTCAATTTTAACAATCTGAAGGGTAAACGGCCGCTGGCGGTAAGAGAAAATGAGGCCGACAGCAAATGAGAAAAACAGTGTGTTTCTGTTGGTGTGTGCGCTTGTGTCGTTTTTGGCAAGTGTAATGCATAAGCAAGTATAATCTGCAGTGAACATAAACCTCCTATGTCATTCTACGTTTTGATCTACACTGTTCAGTCGATACAGTTCAGCATCAGCGGGAAACTACATTAGCAATATCTTTCTGTCACATTATGCCTACATTATAGCTGTATATGATGCATGTTGGACTGTTTGAGAGCACTTCTACACATGTCATGCATATGGATGCACATGTGTTTTTGTATTGGACCCTGTTAGTACTAGTATCATTCTCACATAAGCAAAGAGGCAGCTGCCTCTTCAGTTTTGCCACTTTCTCATTCTCATGGCTGGCCCTTTGTGAGACTGAGTGGGTGCATGTGGAGCTGGATGAATGAGACCTCACACACAAACAGACACACACCGCACATATACATACTTAAGTAAATAACCCAGCATGAAACACATCAGTGTTTCTGTACAGACGAATAAAATAGACACTGAACCACAGAGAGGCATTAATACACACTTTGGTCAAGATGACACGGACCTCGTCTTGGTGACAGTTAATCAGACATCTGTGTGTTGCTACCCTGTAGAGATGGCTGCAGTCCACTCAATTATATACTGGATGACTATAATCATGAGTGGCATTGGCCAGTCCTTAGGCACTTCAAAAGCAAAATCACAGGCCAATTACACAAATGAAGCAAGATCTGTGACTAAATTTTTCAGATTCTGAAATGTGATCACCCTGAGTTTCAGAACAGTTGCATTGAATAGATCCTCAACTGTGTAACTGTGTAAAGCCAAGATACCCGGAGCTCCTCTTTATTCTCCTCCTCTTGTGTTAATGTGAACAGTTGGGTAGCGGCGCGGACTGGTGTCTACAACTTAGAGGAAGTACCAAATTAAACGCAGCTCAGCAAGAAGTCTTTTTGCTGCTGGTTGAAACTCACACATTGAGAAAAACATTTGATCTGAGATTCAGATAAACAGCTATAAGCTATTTCTGAAGAATGGGGGGGGTAGGGAGGGCAGCCAAGGTCAATGCTTGTTAGTTCCATGGTTAGCTCGGGCATTTCGAGATGCACGTGTTAGACAAGGCCCCCTTGGAGTCTTCATTCTCTCCAGCCTTCTCTCTTACACACATACACATACATACACACACACGCACATATACTCACGCACTCACACACACACACAAAGAGAGGTGTGGTTAAACTTGTACATTTTACTGTTACTGAACAAATTTCTGATGTCCTGTTGTGGTCTAACAGGCAAGCTCCATTCTATTCTCCATAAATACACACTCTTCCGTTGCGGTTTGGCCAAATGTGCATTCAACCCTGAATTCTCCAACTGAACTAAGGTGTCACATTCACGCTCGCAACTTGTACAGTTGGTGTGAGGCGCTACCAAGAGTGACACAGTGTTTAATCTGCGGAAAATGACTTTTTGTCAGTTACAATATGTACACTTTGCAACTTGCGTTTCTGTGTAGTTTTTTTTTTGCCAGTGTCACTCATTAAACAGAATAATTGGTGTGTCATCAAGGTGAGAGGTGACAGAAGATTCTCGTTAACTCTTCACTTTGGTGTGGAGAGATCGGAGCGCTGACAACGCCAACTTAATTGCACAAATGAAAGTGGATAGATTTTCAGAGGCTCGGGTCGTAATTTGGACCTCCTTTCACCAGCTCCCTTTCTCTTATATTCTGTTTCTTTCACCACTTCATACTCTCTCCTAGTAAGCGAAAGAACTGACAGATTGATCACATACTGGATAAATAAGCAAACAAAGGCATGTGCATACAATCTACTTGCAATATTTCCATAGACAAGACATGATGACTAAGCCCTACGGTTAGACTTTTTCATTCACACTTGACTAGAATTATCTGGGGACCTTTCTATTTTTACCTTCACATCCAAGTTTTTATACAAAAAGAAAAAGAATGTTTTGATTCAATTTAAAGACCAAATTTAAGTGATAAACTGCAGATGGCGTCTGAAACATGTTTTACTTTAAAACAGCAGACAGTTTCTCCTCTTTGGTTATGATATGGCCGTTAAGGCACATATATAAGCACAGCCTATCAAGACTCACAGAGGCAAAAAAAGAAACATTAAAGTGTTCCTGGTCGTGCCGTGGAGACTGATCCACCTCACACTGATTAAATTGGAGGGAACATCATTAAAACGGCAGACCAAGTTCATAGAACGCCTTCTGTGTTCTCCCACTGTTTCTCCTTTGCACACATGCTTCCACCATCAGTGGATATTTATCACAAGGTCCCCCCCAACACACTCTTATTACCCCCAAAAAAGAGATTTAAGAGAGCATTGAATGGAATCTTTCAGCTCCGACATGACTCCGCTCCACGTTGTGTTTTTCACGGCTGCTGAGCGACGGATTGGTCTCACAGAGTGCCTCTGTTCCCTCGGCATGGTGACACAAAGACTACGTTTGAAACACGGGCTGCAAAACGCTGTCAATGGAACACACGCCACAACAAACGGTCCTGTTGTGTGTATGTGTTTGTGTGTGCGACGAGTGACCAGACAGAGAAACCAGGGCCTGACCCCTTGTGATGAAGCCTCAGGGGCCAGACAAGTCTGCCCAGCTGTGCCCGACCGACCCTCCCAACTCCACATTTTTACACTGTGCACTGTATGCAAGGGGCAGTAAAATTGAACTCTTTAAAAGGGAGTCGTTTCGCCATAAACTGGAGATTTACATGTCCTCTGAGGCAGACTCGAGGACAAAAAAAAAGGGCTACCACATAAGATTTGTTACATGTGTTTCTCAAACGTGGGTTGCTCCACTCCACGCAGGAATGCTGCGACATGATGAGCAACTGAAATCGCAGCCTAAATTTGGTGCAGACAGCGACAAATAAATGAATCAGATCAAATTAAAGTGTTTCTTGATAAGTCGTACAACTTTTTAAAAGACCCATCGGGACCATGACTGCTTCTGTACAGCACGCAATTTCATTTCTGCCTCCCCCACCGCTCCCTCCCCCCTCTTGATCAGCCATTTCATTGCTGAAAACCGGTAGGATGCGTCACAGCAGAGGCTCTGAGCAAACATTCCAAGATTAACTCCACGACCACCAACTTCAACACATCATGGATAAAATCTCCACTTAGGTTTGGGTTAGTGTTAGTCATGCATTTTATGACCCCCAGTGGGTGAGTAGGTGCAGTGTATGTGAGTGTATGCGCTACCAGACATCTGTGTGTTAGAGGAGACCATTCTTACCAGCACTGGTGCCTGCGCCAGTGGTGAGGTCAGCACCCATGAGGCCACCTGTAAGATGGAACAATGAGCAAAGCAAAAGGGGAAAAAAAACATTAGTGCAAAAAACTCATTCTGCCTCCGGTCTGCCACTGAATTTATAATCACAATGTGCTATGTGTACTGCACTTATGTACTGATACCAGAAGTAACGCTGCCTCCCACTTAAATCTTAACATGCCGAGCAAACGGACAACGAGGGGCAACATTAAGTTACTGTCCAAGAAAAATGACACATTATTATTTTTAAAACATGTGAGGTGGAAGAGTGGGAGGGTCCAGATCGTGTGTGGTTTGGTGTGGATGCTGCAAGCGCCAAAACTCATATTTAGTTTGCACTGGCGTCTCTAGCATCCAGTTGTAATGACAGGGTGAGGGTGTGGGCAACAGCCTTCAGAACATAGGGACCGAAAAAGGACCATGGACAACAATAACAAACCAACAGGGACAAGTTGCTTATGACACCAGTAACTCTGTGCTTATATGCAGGGCCAGACTTCCCCAGTGTAGAGTCTAACACTTAAATAAATAGAACTGTGGCAGGGATTTTTTAAATGTTGTTTTATATCATTTTATAGTTACTTTTGACATAACGCTAAGCAGGGAATGTGTGGATATATGTGGGTATGGAAGACTTTAGATTCATTCTGCCTTTAGGTAGAATATTGTGGGAAGCTGTCATGAATTAAATCACACATTTGATGTGTCTGGATCTATTAGCATGACAGACAGGTACACCCACACACTTGGGAAGACAGACAGATGGGATAACAGCATGTACATGGGTGCATGAGTGCATGTGAGGCCCTACCTGTGTTACCTGCACTGGGGGGTCTGTGTGTCACTCCAGGAGACATGCTGTTTCTCTGTAGGCCGTGGTGTGCCAGTGGCAACAGATTGTGGTTGCCTAGGGAACCGCCGGGATGGCTGTAGATTAGATTGTTCTGGTTGCTAACGGGAATGGACACAGGCATGTCGTAGTTTGATGGAGGTACAGCCTGCTGAGAAAGAGATGATAAAAGAAGGACACAAATGTGATTAAAGATAACAACAATTGAAAAAGGAGACGACAAGTGGGGGAAAAAGTATTTAAATAAAGTGAACAAATTAGGAAAAACATTACAACATTACCAAAACACATAATAAGGAAAGCAAAGAGAGCATTGCCCTCCAAGCAAACAGTAGAGACAAGAAAGGAAAATGCTATGAAACCAAAGATGGCCAACGTACAGATGACAGTGACAAGATCTCTACTGACAACAGTAAAAAAAAACAGTATTGAAGGTGAGGGGAAATAAAAAAGAAAATATGGACCAAAACAAAAGGAAAATCAGATTCTCCTAAACACGTTTTTTTTTTTAACACAGGGTGTTCAGTGTTGTGAGCTGAAAAGGCTGAATTGAGTTGTGTCACAATGTAGTCAAGCAGCGTTGTGCTCAGGGTGTTGCATACCCATGAAAATATTCCAGGTTAAATAGATCCACTACAAAAAGGTGAATGGTGTTCACCGGGAATAAGCCGATGCAATCAAACTTCTCAAATCAAATGATTTTAGCTTTTTTCACCTCATTAATAAGACTGAATGAATCAGGAAAATGTTTTTTTCTTTCTGGAACTGAGAGTGCGTAAAATGGCAGACGGGGATTAGTATGCAGTCTCATCAGAAACATGAGTAAAGCTCGTCTGACAGCCTCAGGCATCGAAGATGTCATATTTATTGTGTCACTTGGCAGAAGGGCTTAACCTTGGGAGTGCCCTGGAAGTGGTTGATCCTGCATGTTAGTTTTAGGAAGTAGAAAATAGGGCCCTAAATTACTGCCATGTGTCTAAGAGTCGTGGAGGGAGTGCATCAGGGAGATCAGCCTGGCTTATTTGGAAACACTTCCACCATTTTCCTCATTCACTAATGATCTTTGAGCAGAATAAATATTATTTCAACGTACAAAAATGGTTAATTTAACCATATTTCACTGTGCATTTAGTTTTAACTGCAGCGTCAGAAAGAAGTGGGCCAGCCAAAACCTACAGGTGCTTTTTTTTATAATCCGCATGTGGCTGTCTCTAGTTCTGTTTTATTTTCCTCCACCCACGCAGTGATTTCTTCCACCTTTGAAATTTTATTATTGTCTTTGTAATGCTCTCAATAAAGTGGAATTGTTTGCATGTGTGCTTTCAATCTATTGCTATGTGAAAGCAACCTGCTTGTGAAGTGTCTTCAAACTGGTGCCATCCTGCCTGTTTTCATTCATCTTCCTCCTCTGCTTTCCCCACAGTCCCCCCAACAGTCCCCTGCAATCCAGAGGCCCAGTGTTTGGCAGCCACCCTGACCACACACTGAACTGCCACTTGTTGTGTGCGGAGTCCACCCACCCCCATCCCCACCCAGCTACGATCCCAAAGCCACCGCACTTCAGCTCACCAACCCCTGCCTTATTTCTAACCACACTGCTTCTGCTCCACGTGGCTTAATCACTACTGTTCTTCTCTGACTTATCTACAGTGGAATTGTGTCTGTCTCTATAAAGCTAAAGTGCTAAACATTTCAATGTGAGGCCTTCTGAAGGCAGAACAGTCTTAGTTTCCATATAAAGAAGTGAATATTGCTTTCTGGCGGTTCATGGAATTTAAAAACTACAACAAATACCAGATCAGACATAGCTTGGTATATTTGTCCATCAGGACACTTAAGTTAGAAGGTTTTGGTTGTTTGAGGTTTGACAGTTGTTGAATATATTTTGCCTGAGTGCCTCGTGTCCCCTAAGTTGCAGTAGACTGGCTGTTGTGTTTAAGGGATGGAAAAGAAAAGAACATGCAAACCACTCCTCCCTTGAGAGTCAGGCGAGGCATTATGGGTAGCATTGGCTCAAGGTGGGAAAGAAGTAAGGTTAAAATTTGTCATAAGAGAAAGTCTACATTCAGTGTAGGAAAAATGCCCGCTAGTTATGGTAACAGTTAAATCAGATTAAAGGACTGTTCCTCAAATGTAAGCAAGCAAAGTCAAAGACCTGTAATTTATTCACTGTAAGTACATGCTATAATCTCACTCTGGCCTTACTCTCACTCTCTCTTTGCAAAATTAGTTTAGTGGCAAACAATTGTGGTTAGCCGGGGGAGCTCAACAGCTGCCAGTCAGAACTTTGTTAGCCTGCTGAAGCGGTGGCACAGTGTTCACTCAGTACTTACAGGTATATTATGAGTTTTTATCAAGAGATCAAACTCCTCATTAAACTGTTTGTATTTTTCCTCAGTGCGTGGAGTAAGGATGAGAGCAGATTTAAGTTCAGGACTCTCACCACCCTTGTTCTCCTTCTTGTTTAATGCCTGCCAGGTCCCACAACCACAAAAAAAGTGTGGGAAACACACACATGAAGGGATGGAGAAATGGGTGGTACAAACAGATGACACAGACACGGGGATGAAGTGACAGGAGGTACGGGGGGAGAAAAGGAAAAGAGAGGTGAGAGGAAGGCTCTGGGTTCAGCAAAAAGTACTTACACACAGTCTCTGTCTGCTGATCATCAGATCAATGTCTTCGTTTATTTTCCTGTACTTGTCCTCAGACTCGGGGCTGTGGCCAACCGAGTCATCTGCGTCGGGGTCTGGGCTGTCACAGCCGTTTAGGCCTTTCTTTCTCAATGTCTGAAAACAGAGCAGTTGCACAATACAGTTGAAGGTGTTTGGGGTAGGGAACAGAAACCCAGATGACAAGTTTGGAGGGGACAGATGACAATGAGATGTGAGCCTTGCAATAAAGTACGATAAGATGAGTCCGATTAAAATACCCATGACCTGACTAGCATCAAACATACATGTTTAATTAGCACCTTCTCTAGAGGAGAAAATTAGATCTGTCCTTTGCTTAATGAAAGATTTTTGATTTTTAAGTTTGGAAAGATCTTGTTTTTTTATAAACAAATAAACATGCAACTTAACATTTAGGATGGCACACATGAATTGCTACATTCAACAAAAGGACATAGGAAATGATCACAGTCTTGACCGAATGAAAAAGCATGTGACTTCGAAACAAATCCAAATTACGGAAGAGGACTATGGTTGTGGTACGGGTGCTATCAAACAAAGCAGTTTCTGTTTTGGCCACCTGATGGCCACCTGCCCTCATAAGAGTCGGCAGAAAGTGGCAGAAGACCACAAGCACCACTCGCACACAACTCGATCAGACCAGAGGAGAGGCGCAGACAAAGAAAGCTTTAAAGGGGGAGAGGGGGAGCTACATCTGTCCTTTTTAAGATATTGTTGACAACCTTAACAACAGGGATATGTTTCAGAGTACATTACAGTGTGTGATAGCATGAGGGTATGTTTGCCTGAGCAAGTGCGCTTGTAACGATATGTGCTGTGTTCATTTGCCTCGTAAAGTGAGAGACAAAGACAGAATGGGAGAGAAGAAAAGTACAGTAGCTGACAGTTAGAGATCTCATCAAAGACACCCCCTCCTCCTACTCTTTTCCACCCCCCCCCCCCCTCTTCCACCTCCCTTCCCTCTCTCCTCCTGGCTTTAATAAAGGGAGATTAGTCTACAGGAGGAATATCACGGGCCTGCTCCTGTCTGTGCAGTCATCGCTTCACACTGCGCTCTCCTACTTTCATCTGAAGCTCCATATCAGACAGACGTAATTAAATTTACTTTAGCACACCCTGTATTTGATGCTGATCAAGTGTGTGAGTGTGTGTGTGTGTGTCTGTGTGTGGGAGGGGAAAGAGGGGAATGAGTTTGTGTTTGCGTGTGCATGTGTGGGTGTGTGAGAGTGGGTGTTACCGAGCCAAGAAAAAAGAAAGAGCGACTGAGCAGGAGGAAGGAGGAAGATAGATGCTAAGATAAGTTAATCTCGGTGAACTTCTCCCTCTCATTTGTTTGTCTCCGTCAGTTCTCACTCACAGAAGAGATACAAGTGCAAGGTGCTCCATCACAACCAGCAGCAGAAGTGACAGGGAGCGATCTGCTTGCTTAGAAAACAAATAAAAATCCAGTCATCTCTCATGTCAGCACAACAAAGGGCTGTTTTGAGTGTGGTTTTAGTGAACTTAGAGGCCCTCTTTTGTGTGTGAGTGTAAGTGTTTGATTCCTGAGGCGTCTTGTGGCGAAGCAGCTACTGTAAGTGTGTCAACATTTGCTGGCTTTCTGTTTTTGTCTCTGAATCCTCACTTGGCCCCAAGAGTGGAAAACTGGAATTCTGGATTTGAAAGCATCTCTCATATCTTTGACAGTCTTTAGGAAATCACACCAAACAAATCAACTGAGGCGATGCAGGAGATCTGACTTCCAGGAGACCTACAGTGAATCAGGCACTCATGCTTTAATAGTGGGGGATGAGTCAAAAGAACAAAGGGGTTGCAGAGGTTTTGCATGCTGTCTTTTTTGGCAAAGATGTAAAAGTTTGCCTTTCTTTTCCGTCGTTTCCTTCTGGCCTTGGTGATGCATCATATCGAGCTGACAACAGCTGAACTGCTGGCCTTTCTCAGTTCACATGAGAATGCACAGAAGTAAAAACAACTTTTCTTCCTACTTGTACAGATTCCCACCTACTGCCACCAGCACACAGTGCGTGAGAGATCCACTTCCATTCTAGGAAGAACAGCAATGGAGCATTGCTGGGGGATGAGAATGAGGGCTGTGCTAAAGGTGACACCCATATGAGGTAAGTGAGCTGGTGTCTGGCAGGGGGTACGGCAAAAGTTAAACTGGGTGCTGAAGGGGTTGCAGGCAGCCAAGGCATGGGTGTTATATGACTATGAAGCATGTGGCCCAGGCTTAGCCCTCCAACAGGGCTCGACAGATATAGGGTGCGGTACATGGATGCTATGCGGGTTATTTCAGTAATGCCCACCTGTTAAAAAACATCACCTGTTGCCAAACACCGACACAACCCAATGGCCAATAATATCTGCTGGAGGGTTTGTGTAGCCATAGATGGACCTCTCACTCTTGTGCTCTTCCCCTCATCATCAAGCACTTTGGTCATCATCCATATTTTGCTCTTCTCTAAGAGTGTATTTCTCTATCTGATCCTTAAATGTTTTTAATTCTCTATAGACCGTTTTCTTCCAATCTATCAAATGCTCCCTATGGCAATTCTTTTGTTTATAATATAAATCAGAATTAGATTTATAATTTATCTAGCAAAAATACATATAATATAATGAATATGGTAGTAGGCACAGGAACTAAAACGGATAGCTCTATAAAGAATTCCTCATGTTTTCATTTCTAAAACTAACGGCAGGCATGAAAGGGTTACATTCAAATTAATTTATGTGTAGTCACATCTTTCACCATGAATTTAATTCTGTAATTGCACTTTACTGTCTACATTTTTAACACAATGGAAGAAATGACCAAATCTGGATTTACCACAAAGTGAGAAAACAGCTCATGGAAGACAAAGGAAAAATTAACAAGCTACAGACTACAACACTGACAAAAGTCACTTGGCATGCTATGTAGAGTGGGTACAGTTACTGTGAAAGAATCAGTAGGATGGAGGAATAAGTATGATGAAGAAAGACAGCCAAAAAGCTGTCTTCTAGCGTTAGTCTGTGTCTTTCTCTGAGACCCCTTTAGAGGCTTGCTCCTAATTAAACTCCTTCTTCATGATGCTCCCTCATGACTCCACTCACAGGGCTTGTGTGAGGCAGGCACAGTATAGACAAGGTGTCCTACATACTTGAGACACAAGTCTCATTGGTGCCCTTCAGCTTCTGCATCCTCGGCTAAGCTGGCCTAGGCCGTGTTGGTCTAATAGCAATTCTTGACGGCTTTGAGAAAAAAAGAAACTGATCCCCATTTTCATGTGTTTAGACTTTTGTAATTTTATCATAGCTGGGCGAAAAAATAACATGCAGTTCAATATTCATTTCCTAGTTTGGGTTGCGGGTGACAACTTCATGTAGCTCTCGAGAAAAAACAGGGGATGGTATTTGGGTGTGAATTCTGGGTGGCCCCAGGGGGTCTGCTAGGGACAGCTGACGCCTGCCCAGAGCTCCTGCCATACCAGGATCTGTCTGCTCGGCATTCTGCCACCCCGCTCACCCCGTCTATCCGTCTTTCTGCCCCCATCTTTCCGTCTCAGTCTGCTCCTCAGTCTGTCTTGGTCTCACTATTGATGTTCTATTCTCAACATTTTCTTCAGAACCATCATGTCCCAACAGAATCTGAGTCCAAACATTGTTGGCTTGATGGGTGCATCTTTATTTCCGATCGAGTTGAGCTAGTGTATGGGTTGTATTTGGAAAGAGCTTCAGTGGTGACCATTCCCCTCTGCAGTTATCTTGGCAATGGCTGAAGGGTATGACACATTCAATATTGTGTTTATGGCTATTGGTGACAGTCAGGCCAATGAATGTTTCTCAGTGTCTTCAACCCATTGACTGACGGCATCAGTACAAAAACACTCTACAAAAAAAGCCCCTTTATAATAGGCCTTTTATATTCTCTGGCTACATAGCACAATATTTCGTTTACAAGCTATTTTCAGCTAAACCAAGACAGAAGATAATAGCAGGAGTTTTCTCTGATAAGTGGCTCAGTGTATGGATTTACAGCATTTTTCAGCTGTGGGTGGAAAAAAAGTCGCTGACACAAAGGCAGAACATAAAAGCATCAATAACTGTGCCACTTATGGTTGATCATGATTGCTGGGCTGTTAATCTAGGCTATAATGAATGGCACTGGAATCAAGACTTTCTGGCAAAGCCGCCGACTCTTTTGGTTGCATTGTTAGGAGAAACTGATGATTTGTTCTGCCTTAAAGACATGAGAGTATTCAAATTAACCTTTAGATTGTGAATCAGCTGTGTGCACTAAAGGCATTTTGTTACTCGTTCAGTACCCTAAATACTATACAATTCAAGTAGGCTGTAGTGTATTAGAAAATTGGGCACTGCATAAGCCTTTTATTTACATTGAGTATACAGTTTCAACAGAGTGCTGTAAATCATAACAAATATAAAAAGTTTTTGTCTAACAGTCAAAGCCTTGACTTGACTTGTCATATTCATTTAGAGGCAAAAAAGCTGAGAAAGTTTGAAAAGACACAAGGTTCATGGTTTCAAAGTGACAAACAAAATTTTGCCTATAAAGGCCTCAAGTTGGTCCTGCTGGTATCAGGGAAGAAGCGATAATATAGTTGAGATGTGATCTTATTCTCTTTATTTCTATTTCCTTTTTAGCTTGTCCAGCTCATTCTAACTTGCTCTCATTTTTGTCTCTCTCTCTAACTCTGTCTGTATGCCTATCTGGCTCACTCTTTCTTTTCTCTGCTTTCCAGAGTGAAGGGAACATCAGAGGGATCAGGCTGGCTTAGTTTATTGGAAGCAGATGGCAGACCAAAGGCAAGAGGGCCACAGCTTCATGAAGCGTAGATTGAACATGCCAGGACCATGTCGAGGGGCATGCCCATGGATGATGGCTACACAGTGTGTGTATGTGTATGAATGATTACGGGGGAGATGGTTGATTTAGTAGGTTAGCAATCTGAAGAGCGGGACCCATCATCTGTGAATCCCTTATTCACTGGTTAAGGTGGTCGAAGCATAAATGACCGCTCATTGATTAAGTGGCCTTGCCAGGCCTTATTTCTGGTGCCCTGCTGCGCGTTTAGGGAACAAACCTGACAACTGTGTGGTCAATGTGT